TTAACTTAAACAAATAAATTATTATAGCAATATTGCATTGTAATAATAATAATAATAATCATCATTATTTAATTATTTAAATATTTTTATTTTATTAAATCATAAAAATTTAAATAGCAATAATTCTACTATACTGTATTATAGAGTTATAATAATTAAATTATAGCTTAATTAGGTTTAATTAAATGATAACAAATCAATAAAGAAATTTATTACTATTGCAATAATAATATTGCACCGTAAAATAAAAATTAGTATTTAAAAATTAATTAATCTTCATTTTATTAAATAATAAAAAATAAAATAGCAATAATTCTATTGTACCGTAAAATAAAAACTAAGCATTTAATTACAATAAAAATAAAACACACTCACACTCACACTCACTCTCACTCTCACTCTCACTCACACACGTGCGTCTCACCAGTGTGTGTGCTGCAGGAGTGTGTGTGTGTGTGTGAGCTGCGTCTTAATTCTACTATACTGTATTATAGAGTTATAATAATTAAATTATAGCTTAATTAGGTTTAATTAAATGATAACAAATCAATAAAGAAATTTATTACTATTGCAATAATAATATTGCACCGTAAAATAAAAATTAGTATTTAAAAATTAATTAATCTTCATTTTATTAAATAATAAAAAATAAAATAGCAATAATTCTATTGTACCGTAAAATAAAAACTAAGCATTTAATTACAATAAAAATAAAATAAAATTTAAATTAATAATAATAATAATAATTTTACTCAAGAATAAAAAAATAACAATACTAATTTATTTTGGTGAAAAAAACAAACCAAATTCTATTGTGGACAACAGTTGCTTTATAAGTGCTTCTTCCCATTACATGTTTCTAAGGATGGATGACGCATGTTGCTTTCCCAAATGCACGTTATAAGAAGCTCACATGTAAATCTGCATTGTTAATATGTGACCCTGGACCACAAAACCAGTCATAAAGATTTATACATCATCCGAAAGCTGAATAAATAAGCTTTCCATTGATGTATGGTTTGTTAGGATAGGACACTATTTGGCTGAGATACAACTATTTGAAAATCTGGAATCTGAGGGTGCAAAAAAATTGTGCACCTGGTCTGGGCTGTCAGGCAGGTAGCGGAGCGCTGAACTCAAGCTGCCCTGTGATGCCAGGATGCTGGAGTACTGGATGAGCTTCTCGGTCAGCGCTGAGCTCTGAACACAAACCTCGCCGCTACGCAGACGCTCGATCGACTTCCGCAGGATCATCACCTTCTCCACCAGATCCTGCAGACGCACGTGAACACAGACGTCAGTGCACGACAGCATTCACTCAATATAAGCGTGAAAGAGTGCGTGTGTGTGACCTCCAGCGCCAGCGGAGAAGAACAGTCTCTCTGTGACGTCCAGCACTCCACCAGACGCTCGATGTTCCCCGAGCAGATGAAGCTAACAACAATAACTTCATAATATAACAAATGTTTTATAATATATATTATAATATAACAAGTATATAAATATAATTTTTGAAGTAGTAGTAGTATTCTAATTGTTATTATTATTAGTCATTTTAATATTATATTCAATAATAATAATAATAATAACATAAGACTAACTAGACTAATAAGAACAAATAATACTTTTAAAATTATTATTGTTATAAAAAGTCATATTTTTATTATTAATATTAAAAATATTTTAATAAGACAACAACTACTACTACAACTAATAATAATAATAATAATAATAAATAAATAGAAAACAATTAAATAACACTTGCAGTGGAGATGGAAGTGAATACTGATAAAGTTTGCGCGAATGAATCTGAAACGAAAATGACATCATGCACAGATGCTAATGATCATAAGTGGTTACCATGGAGACGCTGTTGGTCTGTTGGTGGAGGTAGCGTTGCTGGGTCTTCTTCAGTAGCTCCTCCCCTCCGCTGATTGACAGGAGGATGGCTTCGGCGAAACGGCCGTCGTTCAAGCACAGATCCACCGCAGCCTCGAAGTTCCCCACCAACAGAGCCTGACTGATCAGACCGTCCGTATCTGCTCAACACAGCACCACATTCATATCTAAACATCAATATCATAACATGCGTGTCATTCAGAGACGCTCACCTGAGGACACGGGGATCTGGAAGGGCGCTCGGTCTTTCTCTTTCTTTGGTAGCTGACTGAAGAAATCAGACGGAGACTCACGGCCGGACAAACCGTCTGACTCATCTGCTCTCTGATTGGACGATTCAACATCAGATACAGTACAACATGAGATTTCTAGCATTCATGCATTGATTTAAAGCGCAGCTGACACACACCTGATCAGAAAGCGTCTGCATCTTCTCAGCCAGATCATTCACGTCTAAACCGTTCGGATGAAGCTTCCTCCCCAAACACGCTGAGATCTGCAGAAATAGAGGCTAGAATTAGAGCTTCACTCAAAAATTATGGGTCTGTTTCTCTCATAGGGGTGTAAGAAAATATCGATACACATGAGTATCGTGATATTTTGTTTGGCGATACTGTATCGATTCACAAAAATGCAATAAAGATTCATGGCCATTGTTTCGTTTTGAGTTTATATCCCGATCGCTAGATAGCACTCTTCTTACCTCCGAACTTAAACAGTGGCAAAATGTTTTTAATGTTTTAAGAAATATCCCAATGTATCGTCTTGCTTACAGTATCGCAATATATCGCAACATATCGTATCGCAACCCCTGTATCGTCATTCGTATCGTATCGCCAGATTTTTGCCGATACACAGCCCTATTCTCTCACATAATCAGCATCATCAGGAAAAAAAATAGACGAAGACTAATTATAATAATGATAATTTAAAGAATATTGTGACTAATAATAAAAATAATAATAATTACTGATAATAACTAAGACTAATAAAAAATTAAAATAATACTAATAATTTTTATTAGTAATTTAATATTTCATAATAATACATAATAGAATTTAATAATAATAATATGAGGTGGGGTAAGAGGTGTCAGTGGGTAAATCTAGAAAATGGCATATTTTGTCTTGCATTTAGAACAAATGTCTTATTTTATAGGACAACTTCTGCCCATAGGTGGCACAGTTTACCCCGCTCTCATCTAATATAATGACTAGTGAATGAATCCGAATGTTGACAGTGCTGTAGTTTGATGCGATACCTTCCTCTGCAGCTCGTCTTTACTGAAGCCCAGCAGCCGCAGAAACTTCACACGCGCTTCATCTTCAAAGTTCACCTGTTAAAAACACCACAGAACAGTCATGCATTTCACCTTAAACTGATTCATGCATCAGTTCTCTGTGGATTTTAGCATGAATATGACAGCTTAAAGATGATCTATATTCTCTATTCCGGTGCTTGCAACAGCAAAGTCATGGGTTCGATTCCCAGGGAACGCATGAACTCAATTTTTTTTAAAGTCTGATTTTCGGTCTAATCAAATGCTCTCTTGAATCCGAAATAAAACAATTCTTAAGCAGTTATTAACAACAGAGAAGCTTTAAGGGCTTCCTGCAGTTTTCATCAAATAAATAAAAGCTTAGATAATTAGTATTGTAATGTAAAATGTAATTATTATTATATAATTTTTCTTAAAAACTTGATTTTTTTTATTTTACAGTGAAAGTATTTTTTATTTACTATTTTTTTATATTTTATTTAGCAATAATAATTATTGCAATTATTATTATTATTAAAAACAACAACATATTGGCCAAAATATACAGCTCTACAAATGAGTTTTTTTAATCACATTTTATAATTTTATCATAATTTTTTTATCAGAAAAATCACAAATAGATTTCAAATCGTGCAGCCCTACCCAACATTATAAAAGGTGCTAAATCTGTATCTGAAATAGATAATTTTGCTCAATTTTTTCAGACATCATATCTTTTTTTCAAAACATTTTGCATCTCAAGCAAATCCATCCTGATTTAAGGAGACTTATATTAAAAAGACAAAAAGATAGATACGAGATATTCATGTTTTGAAGTGCGTGCAACATTTATTTGCCATGCCTTTATGAATTTTAGACTTCTGGCTCTGATTTAAGATTCTTTCTAGGCCTTCATAGAGTGAATTAAGACTTTTTAAGACCTCCTGAAACAGTATTGGAATGTAGTGCACTACAGTGATTTAAGACACTGTGTTAACTATGCTTTTCATCAGGTTGAATGAAGCCGGGTTTTGTGGCATCTCAGTTTGTGTTTCGCAGAAGAAAGTAAATAATAGGGCTGGGACAATAAATCGATGCATCGCGAATCGAGAAATGATTCTGCATCGATTCTGAGATTTTCCGAAGGCATCGTGATTCTCTCTTGAATCGATTCTGAGCTTAGTTTTTAACAGCAGATGGCACTGTGTGCTTTTAGCCGTATTCTGCTTGCTTCCAGTTCCTTACACACGCACCATTTGAACCAAAAATAATCATTCATAAAGTGCGAAAAGTTTGAAGCGAATCACAAGGATGTTCACAGTGGGCTGTGTTTACATTAATCTTGCATCATAAAGCATAAAAGCCTATGTGCAAGTACATTTAACCACTTACATTACTCAGCCGAACGCACACACGCTCTTATTCGTGAGCATTTGAGTGTGCGGTTAAAAACTAACCTAGAGCGCCATCTGCTGTTAAAACTAAGCTCAGAATCGATTCCAGAGAGAATCACGATGTATTCAGAAAATCTCAGAATCAATCCAAGAATCGCGATGCATCGATTTATTGTCTCAGCCCTAAAACAGAACATTTTTAAATAAAATGTACTTACAAGAGATCTTATAACATACTATCATCATAAACTCTTCATATTTGCAATCTCAATACATATTTCAAGCCATGTTGACCAGATATTCTAAGGTATCTAGTCTACAGAAGGTCACCATGGTGGTACAAAATTACTAAAACTTTAAAATTAAAATGAAAACTGAAATTATTAAAATAAAAACTAATTCAAAATATGAATACATTTATATTAGTATATTAATGAAACTAATATGAAACATTGTCATAATTAACCCTTCGAATTTAAAATCTGATTACAAATTTCAAGCCACGTTGACCAGATATTCTGATATGTCTACAGAAGGTCACCATGGCAGTACACAATTACGAAAACTTTAACTAAAATTAAAATGAAAACGTCTTGGGTTACTCAAGTAACCCACGCTCTCTGAATAGGGAACGAGAGGCATGACGAATCGGATATCGTCCTCTTTTGGAAGACCAAAGTAGCTTCGCTTTCACAACGAAGCACACAGCGTCTTCACGACATGGCTGCAGCGTCAACAATACTACAGCGAGAATAAAAGTTACGTCTTCTTTCTTTGCGTGAACATTTGGGCGGTGTTATGCAAATCTTCCCACATAGTGAGGTAGATATGTGGGGGCGTGTTCGAACGAGCCGTTTTAGGTAGGTGTGGCTGACTCTTAACTTTTATAAAGAATATCTCTTTGGATTTGAGACTTTAGTCTTTGCAACTTTACAGATCTTCTTTATGCACCAAGAGCTTGTAACACTCCAAAGAGAAAGGAAAAAATGAAATTGCATCATATGACCCCTTTAAAATAATAATAAAAATAATAAGACTAAACATTAAAATAATTAATTATTATTTAATAACTCTAACACTAACCCTAACACAATATTTTAATAAGAATAATGACTAAAAAAGAATTAATAAATATTATTAGTTAATATTATAAGCATTATTGTTATTTTTATTATTATTACTGTTGTTTTTGTTGTTATTATTAGTAGTAGTAGTGTTCTTATCTTATTATCGTTATTATTAGTTGTCTAATTTTAAATTATTTCTGTTATTATTAGTCGTAAAACTTGGAATATAGTGCATAAACAACTGTTATGACTGTTATGGCCATTTTTTGTCAGTATGGGAGCGTAATATCTCCTGGTCACTGAAAAACACATGATTTTCATGATTTTCATGGCAAAACATCTGAAAAGTAATGAGGTGGGGTAAGAGGTGTCAGTGGGTAAATCTAGAAAATGGCATATTTTGTCTTGCATTTAGAACAAATGTCTTATTTTATAGGACAACTTCTGCCCATAGGTGGCACAGTTTACCCCGCTCTCATCTAATATAATGACTAGTGAATGAATCCGAATGTTGACAGTGCTGTAGTTTGATGCGATACCTTCCTCTGCAGCTCGTCTTTACTGAAGCCCAGCAGCCGCAGAAACTTCACACGCGCTTCATCTTCAAAGTTCACCTGTTAAAAACACCACAGAACAGTCATGCATTTCACCTCAAACTGATTCATGCATCAGTTCTCTGTGGATTTTAGCATGAATATGACAGCTTAAAGATGATCTATATTCTCTATTCCGGTGCTTGCAACAGCAAAGTCATGGGTTCGATTCCCAGGGAACACATGAACTCAATTTTTTTAAAGACATCATTCTGTCTGATTTTCGGTCTAATCAAATGCTCTCTTGAATCCGAAATAAAACAATTCTTAAGCAGTTATTAACAACAGAGAAGCTTTAAGGGCTTCCTGCAGTTTTCATCAAATAAATAAAAGCTTAGATAATTAGTATTGTAATGTAAAATGTAATTATTATTATATAATTTTTCTTAAAAACTTGATTTTTTTTATTTTACAGTGAAAGTATTTTTTATTTACTATTTTTTTATATTTTATTTAGCAATAATAATTATTGCAATTATTATTATTATTAAAAACAACAACATATTAGCCAAAATGTACAGCTCTACAAATGAGTTTTTTAATCACATTTTAATATCAAAATTTTTAATAAGACTAAACATTAAAATAATTAATTATTATTTAATAACTCTAACACTAACCCTAACACAATATTTTAATAAGAATAATGACTAAAAAAGAATTAATAAATATTATTAGTTAATATTATAAGCATTATTGTTATTTTTATTATTATTACTGTTGTTTTTGTTGTTATTATTAGTAGTAGTAGTGTTCTTATCTTATTATCGTTATTATTAGTTGTCTAATTTTAAATTATTTCTGTTATTATTAGTCGTAAAACTTGGAATATAGTGCATAAGTCATATGAACAACTGTTATGGCCATTTTTTGTCAGTATGGGAGCGTAATATCTCCTGGTCACTGAAAAACATGCATTATTCATGATTTTCATGGCAAAACATCTGAAAAGTAATGAGGTGGGGTAAGAGGTGTCAGTGGGTAAATCTAGAAAATGGCATATTTTGTCTTGCATTTAGAACAAATGTCTTATTTTATAGGACAACTTCTGCCCATAGGTGGCACAGTTTACCCCGCTCTCATCTAATATAATGACTAGTGAATGAATCCGAATGTTGACAGTGCTGTAGTTTGATGCGATACCTTCCTCTGCAGCTCGTCTTTACTGAAGCCCAGCAGCCGCAGAAACTTCACACGCGCTTCATCTTCAAAGTTCACCTGTTAAAAACACCACAGAACAGTCATGCATTTCACCTCAAACTGATTCATGCATCAGTTCTCTGTGGATTTTAGCATGAATATGACAGCTTAAAGATGATCTATATTCTCTATTCCGGTGCTTGCAACAGCAAAGTCATGGGTTCGATTCCCAGGGAACACATGAACTCAATTTTTTTAAAGACATCATTCTAGCCATACAATGTATTGTTGGCTATTGCTACAAATATACCCCAGCGACTTAACACTGCTTTTGTGCTGCAGGGTCCAGGTCACATGTGGAGTTGTAGTTGTGTGTAAATGTTTGTACCATGAGGAACCTCCATATGTCCTGCTCGGCGTCCAACGGGGCGCTGCTGATCTTGCCGTGGCAGTAGCTGCTGAAGGATCCTGACTGCAGAGCGGCCTGCAGCTCGTCCGAGCGCTGGAGGAACTCCGTCTCTGTGGTCACCTGACTCACATGCACCTGTCGCCGGATTGGCTGCTGCTGCTGCGGAGCCACATTAGGGCTCTCAAACGTCACCAGCTTCCCTCCGAACTAGAGGAGACAGAAGCAAGCACAGACTCACAGGAAGCTCAACACATTAATTTTGTCAGCTACTTATTTTTTTTTTTTTATTTAGTATTAGTGTTAGTCTGGTGTCAAATGTAACTTTTATTTTTTTATCATATTTGTGACCCTGGAGCACAAAAGCAGTGTTAAGTCGCTGGGGTATATTTGTAGCAATAGCCAACAATACATTGTATGGGTCAGAATTATCAATTTTTCTTTTATGCCAAAATCATTAGGATATTAAGTAAACATCATGTTCCATGAAGATATTTTGTACATTTCCTACCGTAAATATATCAAAACGTAATTTTTGATTAGTAATATGCATTACTAAGAACTTCATTTGAACAACTTTAAAG